ACCCGGCCCCGGCCCCTGCGTGGGCCGATCCGCCGCCCATCTCCCGGCGGCGCCAGGGTCCAGGAGCCCAGGTCCCCAAGCCGGCGCGGGCGAAGAGGAAGCCCGGGAGCCGGGGGCCTGCGATTCCCTGGAACCCGAAGTGTGCCGGGAAGCTCCCGCTGCTGCAGGCCAGCCGTCCTCCCCGGCCTTTTCCTGGGGAGTGGGGACCATCGGCTAGGCTGGCACCCGGGAGAGCAAAGGCGCTTTCAGAGTTCAGGTTTGGGAAGGGCTGGGGACCTCTGGACCGGGGCCGAGAATGCCTGGGCACGGATAAGACCCCCTTTGGCAACCGTGCACCCGGACCTGGAGCGCACCTGGTCCTTCTCACACAACGAGAGGAGTGTAGCCCACACTTCCTCTGATACCCCTGCTCTGTCCCTGGCTACAGATTCTGGGGGTGGCCTGTGGGACTGTGTCTCAAAGCTGCTGGGTGGGGGAGAAAGTGATGCGCTTCCTGGGTCTCATCAAGTAGGAAAGGGGCTCAGGACCCCCGGGGGTCCCAGGTCCCACTCAAGTGTCCTGGAGCCACTCACGGGAAGTCTGACTTCCAGACAGTGCTGCTGGTGGCTTTCCTGTCTCTCTAGGAGGCTAGTGTGATTCAGAGATTGGAGATTAGGGAACCTGACCTTTGTCAGGCCTGGCTGTCCTCCTGATGCTCCACAGACTTCCTAGGGTGGGTGAAGCAGCCTCTCACCGACCCTGTTCCTCGGGGCTCTTGCTCCCTGACATACCGCTGCCAGCCAGAAGCGAAGGCTTGCTGCTCGCTGTCTTGGGTGGGGTCCCCTCTTTTCAGAAGCGTCTGTCTCCCTCTCTTGATTCCTTTAAACTTCATACTTTAAAAAAAAAACAAAAAACAAAAAACCCTTGGCTTTCACCCACCTTAGAAAGAAAACTGGGAATTTCCACAACTTCCCCTAAACTTTTAAGAATTTATAAATGTTAGACCAGTTTGCATGGCACAAAAAGACGAAATATTATCACTCATAAACATCAACCTTTGAACCTGTAGCACTTTCTGATTTCTATCAAATCTTCCCTCCAAGACACAGAAGTCTTAACCGTGAGCTCTAAAGAGTGGGGGATGTAAGGAGGGAAAAAAACCTCATAAATGAACATAATTCTTGCAAATTGTTTAACATTAAAATGATAATATTTGCTTACACACACAGACACACAGACACACAGACACACACACAAACACACACACACATACAGAAATCCAGAGGTGCTTTGCCAAGTCTCAAACTACATGGACTTTAAAAAATTGATCTTTTCCCAATAAGAGCTTCAAACAAAAATTAGATTCTAAATACTAAATTGCTTATGTTGCAAATACATCCATCATGCATGCAGCAAGCATATTGTGAGTTACAGGCTGGCGTTCATACCCTGCTTTGATTTATGTCCCTTTTTTTCTAATAAAACAAAATCCACTGTCTTCTCCTCCCCCCCTTATCCCCCCCCCACTCCCTCTCCCGCTGTCACTCC